GGGGTGAGGAAGCCAGTGGTTTCTGAGATGCTGAGTGGTTCCAAGACTGACCAAGCATGCTTGCTGCACTCAGCTGTGGTCTGGGGTGGGGACACTAAACTCTCTTTTCTGCCATCAGTGGGCATTTCTGAGATGGGCGGTCCACACTGAGCTGTTTTCATTGTTTCTAGGATGTGGCGATGAACACTTGAGCCCGTGAGTGAAAAATCAACACCAACCAAAACTGCAGACTTTCCAGGAGTAACACTTGAGCCCTGTCAGTCTTCCTGAGTGTGTCAGAGACAGCGGGACTCACAGGAGAGTAGTCATCATGCCATGTTGTTTGTGGGTTTAAGATTTCCAAAACCCGAGCCATCTCCTCTAAGTGACAATAGGGTACATGCTACTTTCTGGTCCAGTAGCACACAGACCTGTCCTGGGGACCCCTCCCCAAATGCCTCATGGAGTTCAGGTGCTTTGAGAGGACATAGGTTTGTGACAGTCCATATGGTCAGGGAGTCCCTGGGCTGAAGAATAGGAGGTGACTGGAATAGGTCCTATCAGGATATATATACCAGGATTTATATTGGAATGTCAAAGAAGGTTTTCTTTTTGATTGGATTTGAGCCAGTTCTGAAACGATAACCTCTATGAGAATGAAATGCATAAAGAAGAAAGAGTGTGCAAATGTAGGAGGGGAGGAGAGAGGGAGGGAGGGAGGGCGGGAGAGAGGATGTGTATCCAAGGCATCTCTGGTGATGGATTTTGAGGATCTGACTAAAATCCCCTTAAACAGCCCCAACTCTGAACTGTTCAATCATCTGAACAACATTCCTTCTTAACTTCAGATGACATGGATGGGATTTTCTGTTATTTCCAGTCCCAAGACTCACACTAGATGTTACCGCTAACATCCAGAATACCATTGGGATCTGTTGCCTTCTGAAGCAACAACAAAAAAACCAAGCAACCTTGGGGACAAAAGAACACACTTCTGAGTAATTTCCCATGCAGTATGAATGAGTTTTCTGGTGATTTCCTGAGGAAAGGTTTTGATAAGCTTGACAGAGACCCCTGGAGTTTACTGGGCCTCTGGCTGAGGATGGAAGAAAAGGGACAAAGATAAAGATACTGAGGTTTTAAAGGGAACTTGTTCCTGTCCAGAGGTTTCCGGGATCCTGCACAGCACTTGTGGGCTGATGCTCCTTCAAGGATCCTTTGACTTTCATCCTCAAGGACCTCCAAGTGACACCAAAGAACCATGGGTTCCAGGTGACAGTCACCATCTGCGATCCGTAGAGTGGGGCAATGACACAATGACAGCTGTGGAGGCTGTGGGTTTCAGTTTTAAGTCCTACATCAGCTGTCAGACCTGTTGACTGATGCAAAACAGAAAACTGTGGATTTTCCATTTTCCCTTGCATCCTCTGAGGATGACTGTGAGGGTGACTCTGGCGGTGGTACCATGAAGAACAAAGGGAGAGGAGGCCCCTTCCTTCTCCAGAGTTCCTGCCAAAGTCTCAAGGCTGCATCTCAGGGTGCTGCACCTAGCTCTGAGCCAATGGCCATGGTCCAGGAGGATGCAGTGCAATGACTGGCCACCTTGAGTCATGTGGCCACTGCTGCAGGCTGGGGATAAGGCCACAGGTGACATCCTCCATGACTTTCCTTGTGCTTTGCCCTTTCCCCGTCATGCTTTTTCCTACCCCACCTATCCCGCAGATTGGACACAGATTCTCCCTTCCTGTCTTAGTTCAAGCATCTCCTGTGAGGAGACTTCTGTGGCTTCCCTGTGTGTTTCCTGTTCATGACTACAGATGGCCAGGCTCACGTTCTTTAGTTAGGATTTTGACTTCCTGATGGTGTAGAAGCAATGCAAGTTCAGTAGGAATCATGCTTTGAATTTTAGATTTTTATTCTTTTCCTGGACTAGTGTAATAAGACACTTTCTTAAGATATTGGGGGCATAGCAGTGGGCAGAAGATCCCATCAGCAGTCTCAAGTGGACTGTTAAGTACTGCTAAAGAACCTAAACGCACCCTTTTAATGGTCTTTTCCCCTTTAAATAAGCTAAGGCATTGGGGGTCAGGCAATTTGACTCTCTAATTGATATCAATTAGACTTTTCCCTGGTGCTGTGATTGGTGCAAACATGGACCCTCATTTGCATAAAGGTCTGCTGTGATTGGTGCACATGCCCTTGCCACACCCCCTTCCTGGCTAGCTAAGCAGGCAGTTTGGCTCACTTCCTGATCTGCAGGAAGACCCTCCTGTGCTGGTCCCTGGTGTGGCAATATTAGGTCCAATAAAAGGCTGGAAAGAGTGGGATGTGCTTGCTTATCTTGATCTTTAGCATCAGTACAGCAGACTGAGCTTGGCACCGATAACAGGAGATGGTGGGAGGGGCAGTTGTGGTGAGCACATCAGCAGTAGCAGTGAAGGGGTGACCTGGGGCAGAAACAAGGGGGAGCAGAGGCTACAGGGACACCGAGGGATGGTGGAAGCAGAAAGAAGGTGAGAGAGGGGTGTGCGGGGTCACTGCTGAAGAAAGTTAGATGTCTGTGAAGAGCCAGAGATGACAAGCAGTGGGTGAAGAGCCAGAGATGACAAGCAGTGGGCCCTGGTCACTGGGAGAGTTCTAGGGAGCTGCCAACTGTTAAATGTCAAGGGTCCCAGATATTCTAGACCCAAGAGCTGTAACTCAAGTCACTGTAGGAGTTGAGGCCCATTCGGGAGCTGTAACACTACAGGTGCTGCCTGCTGCCGCCCACTGCTGCTGGAAGTCCAGGATTACAACAGCTGCCAAGAGCTAGGCTGCCGGTTAAAGCCTAGAGCAAAGAGCCTCCAACCTGAGTGTCCAGAGCCATAAGTCTCTGCCTGCTAAAGTCAAAAGCAATGGCCTAGCTTTCAGGGCTTGGAGCTGTGAGCCTCTGACTCTGCCAGTCCAGCCCCTAGGCCTTGATTACTCAAGAGCTCACGACCGCCAGCCCCAGAAGAGCTCCTCCTGGCCTACTCATGGTTCCTACCTGGATAGAGCAGAAGGACACTGGGTAGCTGTTGGTGACATGGGTTTGTCAGGAGGTGACTTCATTGTTAGTGGAGGAGCATCTGTGTGTTAGTCATTCAATCATCCACAAATGTTTGTTGAGCAACCTACTAGTAAGTGGTGGGGGTGCAGCAGTGAAGACAGTGAGCCCAAAGACCCTGCCTCCTGGAGCATGCAGTCCTGCCAGGGCAGTCAGTCGGTGAATAGCCCAAATAAAAAATACACTCAGTACACGTATGAATAAGTAAGTGTAAGATATGCCCGACATATATGTTTGTATACACACACACACATGACACACACAAATATATATACAAATATATGCATTTGGATCAAAATTAAGCAGGGGTGGAGAAGGCAGTGTCTGACTATCCGTGAAGAGTTCACAAATGGTTGCTCAGGAAAGGCTGCCATGCAAGACAAAGTGAGGGAGAGACAGAAGCAGAGGCAGGGGAGGTGTGCCTGGCCTCCTAGACTCCAGCGTGGCTGGAACGAGAGAGTGAGAGGGGGCGTCACAAGAGCGGGGTCCAGTGTGAGCAGCCTGGGCCAACTCTGCCATCCTTGCAAACAACCCCTCTCCTTGCAGCAGGAAGGGAAGCCAGCATCTGCCTCTCAACAGAAGAGAGACACGGCAGATTTTCTCTGTCACCCTGGCTGCTGCATTGATGACAGGTGGGAGCGAGCAGGCTCGAGGTCAAGGCTGGGCATGGGAACCCACAGAAGGCCAACTCTCGGGCTAGGAGAGCTCTGTGTCCTGGGCTGGGGTGGTGGCAGGTCACGGAGCACAAGTGTTGGATTGGGGTGTATTGGGACAGCATCACCAACGGGATTTGCAGAAGAACTAGATGTGGGGAGAGAGAAGAAATCTAAGAGGAGCCAAGATATGGGCCTGAGCAACTGAAGGAGATGCCATGTGTTATCGTGAAGAAGATTCTGGAACACGTAGGTTGGAGTGGCAGATGATGCAATGTACCACACAGCCTTGTCGCTTTCCTACCCCTCTGCCGTCTCTCTGGGCTCCTTAAGGACAGCGATTGTGCCCAGGCTTTTGTGGCCCTAGCACTTGGCGAGGATTCAATTTCTGTTTGTTTTGACTACGCAGCAGAACCACTCCCTGGCAGTTGCCTTCTGAGCAGGGAGGTAAAAGCAAATCCTGTCCAGAAGGAGCTGCGGGCTGGGATGTGCCTGCTACGGGGACAGGTGAGAAGGGAGGGGCAGGCACCTCTGGGTACTTTGCTCCTCACCCTGGTGTTGCTGGAAAGTGCGGCCCAAGGAGGTACCATGGCATTTGTCCTCAAGGCTTCAGCTCTGGGGTGGATGGCATCAGATGCTCACATCTATTTTTCTCCTGCCACCTGGAAGCCTGTTGCAAGGTGCTGGCAGAGCCTGGCTGGAGTCCCTGGCTTTACATTTCTCCCAGCATGCATTTGTTTTGAATCATTTTTGCGTTTAGTTTGAAAAGAGGAGGCTGGGACTGGGGAAGGAAAGAGCCAAGGGAGGTAAAAGGAGGGATGGAGCAGCCTGTGGAATTGTGGATGCCAGGAAGGAGAACGGAGAAGAGTTCTACCCAGGCCGGTTTTGTAGATCAAAGCTGGGTGCAACTGTGTCTTTTAGACCTCAATGACTTCATACAAATACTTTGGCTAGAAACTCATCCCCCAGTGTGCTGCCTGTACATCTGTTAAGGTCCCACCTTTCCCTGCTGCCTGTTTGCAGCCTGGTGGCGAGGTGGAGAGTGACCTCCATCAAGGTCATAGTCCCTGTAACCCCCTGCCGTCCCTTAGGGGCTGGGAAGATGCCAAAGGCACGTGGCATACGCGGAAGGTCCAGAGAAAGCTTCACAACCCAGGGGACTGGAAGATTCTTGTGACTTAAGCAGCAGAATAACCAGAATGAAACAATAGGGACCTGGGGGACCCCAGTCCCAGCTGGGTGTGATGGCTGGTGTCTGTGGGGGTGGGGAGCTGTAGACTTGCCTTTACCACGTCTTCATCAGAGGACCTGCACTCCACAGCCTCCAGCAACCCTGTCACCGCGCCGTCCTCCTCCACTGAGACCACCTTCACTGGAACGGCCACTGTCTTCCCAGTGAGGATGGCGGTGTTCATGATCTCTGCCTCCTGGAAGACCAAACACACTTTGCATCACTTCCCTCCTGAAGTGAGCCCTCCCCCTTGGATGTGCAGCCACCTTTCCCAGCCTCCTTGCAGATACCCCAGCCTTTTATCCAGGCTCAGAAAGCCAGGCTCTCAAGGCCCACCAGGGGCCATGGCAGCCAAGAGGTCATTTTATGCCATTGCCTGGGTTTCTCTGACAAATTCCTAATTCATACTGTGTTTGGCACAGGCTTGTGCAGGCCCTTACTGTGTGCCGGGAACATTTTAAGGGCTTCACAGACACTGATGCATGATTTGCACAGCTCCCAGATAAGAGAGGCATTATTCTATCTCTTTTATAGATGGCACAGAGAAGTTTTGTACTTTGCCCAAGGTTACAAAGCTAGGAAGGAAGAAGGGTGTGATTTGTATGGAGGGATCTTGGCTCCCAGGTTCACGTGTTACTGACTCAGTTATGTCTGAACTTATACACAAGGGCTGGGGATACAGCTCAGTGGTGGATGCTTGCCTCACACGCACGAGGCCCTGGGTTTGATCCCCAGCACTGCAAGAACAAAATCCACTCAAAGCTTGTCCACAGTTATACACAGTGATTCCAACTTAAGCATTCAATGATTGGCCAGGGGCAAGAGGTAAGGAAAGGAGCTTCTGTTAGTGAAACCTCACAGACTGTGTGGGAGACAACTAGGAGGTACACCACAGCGTCTCGCTGTCAGCTCTTGCGCTGGCTTTCTCTCATTTCCCACCACTTCCCAGACTCCGATCGGATCTGGGTCTTGACACGTGTCTGGAGTGCTGGTACTTGTGACACTGCCACAGCCTCGCGGATGTGACACATAGGTGGACTGCACACACTCACTCACATAAGCATGCATTTTGCCACCGAATTCACCCTCTACAAATCAGGTGTGCCCTGAGGGATGCCCAGGTGGGTCCCAGTCTGTCCTCACTTATTGTGAAGTGTTCTTGTGGGGTGTGAAAGGGTGGTAGCCTAGAGCGTCCAGGGGCCCAGTTTTCAGATGGAGCCAACTATTCCAAGAACTAAGAAGTAGACCTCATTCTTCTTCACAGTGAGTCTCCTTTATCACAGAAAGATCGGAGTTCCAACAGCCACCTCCCCGAGGTCTCTGCATAGTCACAGCTTCCAAGTCCCTGGCTCAGGCATGGAACTTGCTTCATCATTTGCCAAGTGTCCCTAAGGCCTTTCACCAACACAGCCACACTGTGTTTATTCTGTGCCGTCTGCACCTGCCTGGCCTCCGCTGGATAGAATGATGGCACAAAGTCTGCATAGGTTCTAGGGCTGGTCGGGTGGTCCCTGACTCAGCTGTCACTTTCCTGTAGCCATCCCTTGTAGAGAGAGGCTTGACAGAGTCTTGTGAGTTTGATATAGATGTGAAATCTACAATGCCCGTGAGTCGCATGTCTGCAGACAGAACGGAAGCTTATCGTCGGACAATGACGTCACCACTTTTCTTACAGGAATTATGCTTGTACTCTTCTTCCACAGGATGCAGTGCCTTGTATGCTGAGCTCATTTGCCTTTGGATGAGGTCACACACACACACACACACACACACACACATGAATATACGTTTACCATTCTAAAAGACAGGACTCCCCTTGGGAACAGCACTGAGTTTCGAAGCCCATGAGGCAACTGGATGTCCTCAGGCCTCTCAGTGTCTCCTCACCTGTGCACTTTTTGCTTTTTAGGAAGTTCCTAACTTCATTTTATTGCGTTTTGGGTAAAAATATAGTTGAAAAAAAATTGCAGTTACAACATTCAAATAGTATGCTGTTCCCTGCTGCCCCCGGGAAGGAAGAAGTCCAGGCTCTAGAGGGAAGGATGAAAAGAGGCAAGTTGTGTTTTGGAACAGAATGGAAAGTGCTCCAACTTGGTGGCCCACACTGCACTGGCTTGTCATAAAGGAGTGAAACAGCTGGGGGAGCGGAGTCTTGCCTTTGACTCCAGGCTCAGGAAAATCACTACCACAGTAGGAAAGGAGAGAGAATCGCTCCTCCTTTTTGGGAATCAAAAGGCTTCTATGCGAGTTGACATGATGAAAGATGGCGCCAGGAATAACCAGGGAGAGCCGTAAGCCGAGTGTCTGAGATGCCTTTGCCCTCCGCGCACAGGGCCTCCATGGGCATTCGTGGCTGTACTTCCTGGCACAGTCTCTCGCCAATTCTCCCGTGCGTTTCCAGTTTGACATCAAGAAGTTTCTCTCTTGCACAGTGCTTCTTTATCCCCAGAGGTGGACGGTATGCAGACGACTCACAGAAGTCTTCAGAGGAGGGGAGGACATAGGTGACTCTTGTTCAGTGGTAGCACACGGCACAGCCTTAGCTGTGGCTGAGTCATGACCTACAGGGTAGTGGGCTCTGATGCTAGAACCCCGTAAGACTCTCAGAAGTTCAACTATCTTTCTTGTTGCCGTGGGGCCACCTTAGCACAGATCCCCAGAGACTGGGAATCAAAGGCACAGATCCACACTGTGTCCCCGATACCAGCCAATGCCATCTTTACTGTCTCATCCCCCTCCACCTGTCCTGCTTCCTGGATGTCCTGTGCACACTGTCAGGACATCCTGGGGCTCTGGCCACATCACTCTGGGCTCCTGAGAGGCTAGGAGGAGGAAGAGAGGCAGAGAAGAGACTGGATGTGGCCTTGAGAACAGGTCTGGCCACTGAAGTGAGGCCACAGACACTTTTCATGGGGTCTAACCTATAATTATCCATTGAAGGGAAAGCTGTCTCCATTTTGTTGGAGCAATGTGGCCCATGTCTTCTGTGGGTCCCCTTGGAACTAGATCATGGCACAAAGACTTAAGACAATTCACTTGGAAGGGTCAGTCACCATGGTGGGTGCCGGTGCTCAGTCCTGCAGGGATTTACACACGATGAGACCGAGCATGTACTCCCTGTGCGCGTGAATGTATGTACGCGTCAAGATAGAAGTTGTTATGGTGATCTCCTGCAGGGAAGTTAAAAACACACAACTGTAAATAATCCTATTGAAGGCTGAGTCTGGGGGAACTGAGGTATTTATACACCAGCTCCTGGAGTGGCTGCCAGGTGCACTGGTCCCCACTCCCAGCCTATTGTGGGTGCAGCTTACGTCTCCCAGTTTAGCTCCTGGCACAGGTGACACTGGGGACCAGGCTGAAGCTCTCTGCCATGGCACCGTATAGGGGACATGCAGGACACTGACAGACTGGAGCTTGTCACACACACAGAGGTCTGTTGGGATGGAACCAGAGTTACAGTGTGTGTTCAGTTCTAATTTCCTCATGCTGCTAGTATTCAGACTCTGCTTTAAGTATCACCAGCCATTTTTTTCATGCTCACTCTTAAAATCAATTTTAAGTCACTGAAGAAAAAATAGTAGAGAGAAACATTACGTTGAAGGGAAAGCTTTTTTAAAATTATATTCCACAGCTTTTGCTATGTTGCATTTCCATTTTAATTTGTTTCAAGGAAATTTTTATGTGCGTATAATAATTGTACAGGAGGATACATTGTGACATTTACATATGTGCTACAATGTGTCTTAATTAGACTTAACCCCCCCATCCTTCTCTCCAGGGACATTGCAAAGCCTGCAATACTTTGGATCTTAAATGTCTCCCAAAGGTCCATGTGTTGAATTTTTGGTCCCCAGCACCGCGCTTATGGAAGGTGGTGGAACTTTTAAGAGGTGGGGGCTGGTGGGAGGTGCTTACATCACCAGGGAATGTGCCTTTGAAGAGGACAATGGGACCCCAGTCTCTTTCTCTTTTTGCTTCCTGGTCATGAGGTGAACAGCTTTACTCCTCTAGCCACGAGGTGCTGCCTCACCACAGGTCCAAAACAATGGGACCAATTGACCAATGGTTGACCCTACAAATCCATGAACCTCCGTAACTGGAAACTTTCCTCTTTGTAAGGTGATTATCTCAGGTATTTTGGATGTGAAAGCTGACTGACAGTGTGTCACAGACGGTCCTTTGCCTCCCAGTATCCATTCTGCTTTGTCCCTTCTTCATACTGTATCTGGAACATGCCCAGATCAAATGACAACATCTTTTGGCAGCTCTCTGTCTGTGACCTGGTCCTGGTTCCTGAGGTATAATTGGAAGTTACTTAATGAAGATACCAGAAAAGTTTGTTAAAACACAAATGAACAATAACAACAAAACAATTCTGTAGGTCATCTTGCCTGATGCAATGCATAGGTAATGCTGGGCTTGTGACCCGCAGGCTCAGGTGTGGGATGAAACCACTGGGTTTCAGCACAGAGCAGTGGCAAAGAACCAGGGGTCGCTCCTTGCATTTCCTGGGTTTGAGTCCTGCCTTTGACACCACCTATGGGTATCAATGAGTAAGCGACTGAATTCTGATTCCCTCCAGCTTCCACACGAAGGGCAGATTTATGTGAACTAAAATTTGTAGTGTTTAGAAGCACTGACACCTGCATAAGCTGCTCTGATCTTTGATATAAATCAGTGAGAACCATGGCTGGTGGGTGGAGTATAAGATTCTTTTCCACCTGGAACCTCAGAATGTGACTTTGTTTGGAAACTGGGTCTTAGTGGAGGTAATTAGTTAAGCTGAGGTCTCACAGGAGTGAAGTGTGTCCTGAGCCTATGTCGGGAGGCCTTTTAATAAGGGGAAAAAATGATAGACATCCAGGGAAAGGAGCCATGTGAGGGTGGAGCCAAGAGCGGAGTGATTCGGCTCCAAACTGAGGAGTGTCATGGATGTATTCGGTCAGCAGAAGCTGGAAGAAACAGAATCATCGTCCTCTCAGAGCCGTCAGAGGGCTGGCCCCTGTAGACACCTGGATTTCACTCTGGCCACCAGAACTGGGCGGGGATTCATTAAACCACCAAGTTCATGGTGCTTTGTTTTAGCAGCTCTAAGAAATTAATACAGTGTCTGGGCAGAAATGGGAAAGGTCCTGGATGTTGGATGTGTTGCCATGCTGACTCTGAATTTCTACTTCCAAACTCCTTCGCAGA